GAGGGGGCCCGGGGGTATTCCTAGCTAGAAATATTTGTAATATACCTCTCATTGCATTTACAGCTTATAGACTACTTAGAATTCTACTGTTTCAAGATTCCAAGTGTTCATTTCAATAGTTTAAGATTAAAATATTCAAGATAAACTATCAATATTCTAATAAAAGGTTCATACTCTAGTTTTATAAAAAAATTATAGTTGAGGTTTCTGGGGGACTCTCAAAGATAGCAAACTGAGGCTTTCAAAATACTCATATGTTTAGAAATTCTCACCCTTTTAGCCCTGAGACCTAAGGAACTTCTGTGCTTGGCATTTTTGCAGATACTAATCTATAGGCTCCATATCAAAATCTTTAACCTACTTTATAAGCTAGATCTACAAATCCCCTTACAGCATATCTAACTGTACGGCCAATGTATGTTTTATTTGGAAGAACGGAACTGAACTCGTTTTTTATCTGATATTTCGTTAGGGTTATATGATCCTGTTTTACAAAACAACTCTAAATAGTTTGTTTTATAAAAAATATCAATGAAAACATTTAATTATGCAGTTCCCGTTCATACTTACCCTAAAATAGCTTTCGGTCAACCAACTTGCATATATTGTGTATGTACTATGTGACTTGAATAAAGCTTAGAGTATAAGAGGTATATAATTTAAAAAAACCATAAAATATATTCTATATATTTTAAAGAATGTGTTTTCTTCATTTAAGTCCCATCTCATGTACAACATAAAACAGTTTTCAAACACTGGCTAACAATTTCAAACAAGTTATGCATTTAAGAAAATATATATCTTAAGAGTGACTTATTTGAGTGGTCTCCCAAGACACACTTGGTCTCTGTTTGCCTAGAGAAGGAAATGGATGGCAGGTCTAACTGCCTTCTTTGCCCTAACAATAGAAGAAATGAACGCTACCTGGCTACCATTACTGATTGTTTTGATCAAGGACCCAACACTTGGATTCTGATGAAAGGAAGAAAATTATAGAACAGACTGGATCCACTCACTCTTAGGGAGCCTCCAAATCTGTGGCCCAGCAATAATCTCCAAATTCTGACCCAAAAATTATTCTAGGAAGTCATCTCTAAATTAAACAATAGTTTAGCTCAATTAATAGAGAACATTTGCTTTAAGCACTGAATTCTCTTAAAGCATTATCTATGTTAGATGAATTTGATAATAGCAACTCTAAGTCACAGATGTGGACCTTACTGGACAGAGGGTCTATGTTAACGTTGGTCCAATAGTATGGTTAATAATGAGCATGTGAAATTTGTAGAGCGTGAAGATACCATGTGATTGATGTATGTCGCCAATGGCATTGAAAAGTGCACGTGTGGAAATTATTGAATAGTTGTATGTTTTGTTGCATATATATTTTTGAAATAGGCAGTGACTCATAATAAATTAAGCTGTATTTCCTCCCTCCCACAACTTCTCTCTTCAGAGTATACTAAATCTCTCATTCATTTCTCTCACCTAAGTTAGGAAAAGCAACATTATTTCTAGATCTATCTTTACATAGAATAACTACACATAATTATTATATCAATAAAATAAATATTTACAACCTTGGTATAGTGATGACAGCTATAACCATTTAGATATCATATTGTCCATCTACTGAGAGATCAAAGAATTCTTACAGTTTCTCTGCTTGATTCAGGAAGATGTAATCCATCCAAAGATTCCATGATGGTTTCTTGAGCAATTAATTTGGAAACACTGAATATTTTAACATTTGATTTAGAATTTCTGGTGCTACTATTCAAAATACTGACTGCAGCTTCATTGTAAGCATCTATCTTCTCATTAGTGAGCATTTTTCTATTTTCACTTAATATCTCTTCATAAACAGGATCTGTGCATGAAACATATTTTTAACAACGCATGTTAAAAATTCCCATTGGTAGCAACTATTGACTATGCAAGTTCAACGAAACCCAAGTCATATTTTGTCTTTAAAGTCCAGATGGTTCCAGGCATCTAATGATTCATTTTTACATTAAGCTGGTTTTGATTTGCAATAGATTTCCTATCTTATATTAAAATTTAAGCTTATGTTTTAATCAATTTTAATTAAATCAACAACAATATTTAAAGAAATTTTATTCCTCCTCTCTCTTGGGTACAAAGACTTAAGAGAAACAGTTTTATAATCTGTCTTCAGAGTTTAAAACTCTGAATTCTCAGTTATGCTACGTTAAATAAAACTGCAGATGACTGTCGAAGAATAGAAACCAATCTTTTTTTCTCTTGCTTAATCCTGTAAACTTTAGTCACCTAATTCCCCGCCCACTCCCCCACCCCCACTGCTGAGTCAATACCAACTCAAGGTGACTTTAAGACAGAAGAGAACTGTCCCATTGACTTTCCAAGGCAGTCCATCTTTAGGAGAGCAGACTGCTTCAGTCTCATGTTTCTCCTATGAAGCAGTCGATGGGTTTAAACCACCAACCTTTTGGTTAGCTGTCCAAACCCACTGCTCAACCAGTGTGTTATGAGGTAATATTATTGAGGTGCATGGTCTGTCTGTTCCCATATCAGTTGCTCTAAGCTATTTAAATGTAACTGTTCTCTTTTTACTAGCAGAGAGAGTAATCATGAGTTTGCATATAAAACAGGACTTTTGGGACACTTTTGGGACATTCTGGTATTGCTCTCAACTTGACATTCAATGGGACATAATCATCAGAGTTTCTTACAAACAACATGGAAAAAATAACTCCAAAGCAAGGAATTTCATATTCTGTTCCCAAAAACTCACTGCCATTGAGTCAATTCTGACTCATAGCAACCCTAGGGCAGGGTAGAACTGCCCCTGTGGGTTTTCAGGACTATAAATCTTTAGGAGAGTACATAGTTTTATCTTTCTCCCAAAGAGCAATTGGTTTTGAACTGCTGACCTTGTAGTTAGCCCAGTTTGGAATAATGGCCAGTCAATACATTCTTAAAATGAGTTGACCTAATATGTACATCCTCTTAAAGAATTTAGTTACCAAGTATATATCTAAATGGTGAAAACATAAATACTTGGTCAATTCCAAAGTATATTTATTTCTAGTGATTATAATATTATGAAACAGACTTATTAATAATGTGTCTATATATTTCCTTAGGAATCACAGTATGTAGAATCTGTAAGAAATAAATATCAGATGGAAACATTTCATTTGCCTTTAGGACTCTCCATTATATATTCTGTAGTCATTCTGCCTGCTGAAGCTCCTTAGAGTACAATTTTTATTTGTTTACTTTTAACTTATTGTACTTATTAGTCTATCTGTTCCCTAAATTCATAATAAAGAAAGTGAATAACTCAAAGTTCATTTTAATTTTGCAATCCTATTTCAAAATGTATACTGACAAAGGAGTTATTTTGCTTCTTTGAAACAGGAGATAATCAAAACCCCGGCCTCTAAATATATATGAAATGACATTTTTTCATTACTTATTTCTTACCTTGTAAGACCCAATAAACAGCACTACTCCTGGCCAATTTTTCTAACAGTGGTGCTATGGAAGTAATGTTCATTTTATATTGGGAAAGTGCTTCACTGCTACCATTGTGAATCTTGATGGACCACTAAGGATAAGTAAAAATTATGAAGGAATTCAGTATTTATTACATAAAAATAAAAAATATATACTCTAACAGATAATTACAAAAATAATTAATTGTCCGCTCTATTCAGTAGTACAACAAAATTTGGTTAAAGACGATCAATGATTTTCAAGAAATTCAGGTAAGTAAAAAAATATTGCTACGAGGGTTCCTGCATGCATTGGTCAGTTTAGTCTGACAAAAACAGGTTTAAACGTGTCTCCGTGACCAGGAAGTAGATGGGTGCAGACAAGTCCACTCAGTAAGACACTTGTCTTTAGTCTTGGTATGGTATCTCCAAAAAGCAACCAGGCCAATCAAAGCAGTGGCATCAGAGGGGATTCTGCTGGGCCAGTGAAATTCCAAGCTGCTCAGAAGGTCATGGCAACTAATTGGGGGGAGTCCTAAAAGGTAATCAAGAAACAAAGCTTTTCTTTAAGGACACAAAATGCGCACAGGGACTTGTGAGGAAGTTTTAAGAAAACAGGAAACTGCATTAGTGAGGGAAAAGGGCAGGAAAGTTGTTATCAGGGAATTTTTCTCCATCCCAACAATGTACTTGTTCATGCTCATAGGGTATCCTGAGAATGTTGTTGGGAAATCTTACCCCATCCACACTGCAGTCTCTGATCTTGCCTAATTCAGGCTTCTTTTTGCTTCCAAAACTCAATGAATACTTAAAAGGAACACAATTCGAGTGCTTTGAGGATTCCACAAATGTTTTAATGTGTTTTCATGGAAAGGTTAGAGAGATGGAAATACCATCTACAGAAGTATATAGACCTAGATGGAGGTATGGTGAAAAGCAATAGCTTCACATTTTGACATTTTTTTGGTTTAATAAAGGCTTTAGGCTTTTATGGCAATACTTTTTGACTTACATATGAGGGCAGAAAAAGCTGTTACAAAATTATATTTTCAAATGCTGACCATTTAAGAAAAGCCCAATTTAGAGATAGATACTAATATTTAATAATATATTTCATAAAGCCATTCATATCTCTAAATAGTCATCAGTCCAATTAAATACAATAGGAATGAAAATATATGTAATCAAAATATGCTTTTAGCATATCCTTAATATGAAATGAAAATCATTATATGACTACAGTTAGTAACTTACTGTGGCAGCTCCAGCTACAATTACATGAGGCTTTGCAACAGAATCCTATAGCGGGAAAAATAATGTAATATCCAGTTAAGGGAGTTAATACAATCAACATCATTTCTTTTTATTTTTTAAAAATGTATCTTTCAAGTGTGTTTTAATTTTCCAGTATTTCTTCTTATACCTTGTTATAACAAGATAGGCATGCAGGACCTAAAACCTTCCATGATTATAAAGGATGGCCTGAGAAGTCTCTGCAGAGACGATAATTTTATTGCTGTACATCCCTCCTTGGTATTCCATTAAAACTGCTCTCAGGTCAATGAATAGACTCTGGGTGGCCAAATTCCTAAGCTTCATTCTACTGTATGTAGTGGCTAAAATGATTCTACAGACTATTCACGTTTTAAAAGTCTACCCTCTCTATACGATATTACAATCCTTCCTCTCCTGCTTAGCTTCTAGGCTTTTCCAGCCCCTTGCAGGAATCTTTTTGAACATTCCATTCCCCAGGAACTCTTCTCTTGAATCCCTAATTCCCTCATCTAGTCAAACTTCAGAAGCACCTCCATCCATACTCAAGACTCCTAAAATCCACCTAAGCAACTCAGACTTCTTAATGACTTCCTTAAGAGTAAATATAAATGATCTGTTTCTTCACAATTCAGCCTGGTGTCCCACCACTACACAACTATCTCACTCTTCTTCTGTTTAAAATCTTCAATGGTTCTTAACTACTCACAGAGTAAGTCTTACCCAATGGTGTTATTTTTAGGTGAAACCCCCTAAGAATGTATAATAATTTGTTTTTATAGAAATTGGTAAAATGAAAAATCCAACTTATGCTCTTCCCCCCAGTGAAGCCTAAGACATGACCTACCAAAACCAAACACAAAGGAACACTGAAGTCTAGCCTAAGACACGGTACAACTGTAGATCTTCCAGCATCTTCACACGCTGTTTCCTTTGAGCGGACCAGCTCCTTTTACTCTACTTGGCATTTAGGACTTGTCACACAGCTTGCTTAATTACTTCTGTCACTCACCTAGATGCTTTTCGAAGGGAGGAGCTCTGTCATGTTAGCCAGTAGAGTAAGGCAGATGATTTATAGAGTTGGGTTGACTAACAATCTCATTAAGAGTCACCTAAATTCAACTTTCCTTTTATGTGTTTTAAGATTTTTCTAGTCAGTCAATGAGTATCTTTTCTACCCACAGTCCTGGAAATGCTTTCTCCCTAATAAAGCATACTTAGACTGTCGCCTTATGTTCTCCACACCCAACCACCATTAAACGGCTTTGACACATGGTCCTTTCGTAGTTCCCTCTGCTCGTCTGTATTGCCTTTCAGCTCACCACACCATTCTTCATCAATAAGTCATTATTTACTAGACTTAGGTTGCAAATTCTTCAGAGTTAAGGTGGTGACTAATCTCATCCCACATTTCTAATACTCAGTGCAAAGCTAATATAAAACTCAAAAACAAACTCATCGCCATTGAGTCAATTCTGACTCATGGTGACCCCATAGGGCAGGGTAGAACAGCCCCGTTGGCTTCGGAGACTGTAACTCTTTAGAGGGTTACAAAGCTTCACCTTTCTCCTGTGGAAGGGCTAGTAGTTTTGAACTGCTGACCTTGCGGACCGCAGCCCAGCTACCAGCCCTAAGCGTAGAGAAGGATGTAGACAAGGCCAGGACAAGCTATTATCAGTAAGAGGCCTGAGACAGGGCATTTAAGAGGTGTCTGGAACCAATGGGACCCCATATAGGTTGACTGGGACCTATCCAGCCCCTTATGTTTCCTTAACACCTCCTTCAGGATACCAAGGTAAAGGTGGGGTCAGTAGGTGTGTGGACAATGACAGCTTTGGTTTAAAGGCAGGTCAGGAGCAGAGGATGGGTCCAGGCTGTCAAGGCCTCAGCGAAAGCTCTGGATTGTCAATTCCCACAGGGACATGTGTGTAGATGGGGCAGGCCGGCTCAGGAGAGCTGGGGGGATCCTTGGGTCACGGACTGGTGGGGGACCCATTCAGCAGTGTGCAACTCTCTACCCCACTGCAACACCAAGTCTTCCTTCCCACTGACAGGGAGTCCCCTGATCACAACACAAAGCCACCAATGGTGCTGTGGGGTCTTTTAAGGGCCTGATCCAGGCCACTTATCCTGAACATACAGTGAAGGCAGGGGCCCAAGGATGGGCAGAGTGGTGGTGTTTAGGGCACCCTTGCTCTAGAAAATTGAACGGCCCTCCCTTGTGGGCAATGGTGGGGACAAGGTTCTCTTGAATGACGTGGAGGAAGTGAACAAAGCAGTGGCCTAACTGGATGTTCACAATGCAAGGGAGGCAATGTGGTAAATAGCTTAGCCTCCATTTTCACGTATCACTAGTTTTAACATAGCAACCTCATCCTGGGAACTGAACATCGATAAGTGAGGAGTGGATGTATGTGAAGACTAATTTACCAAGTTCAATTCGATAAGTTTTCTGCATGATTGCTTTTTGAAACCAAACATTTTCTCAAAAAATAGTTGACTAGGTTCCCAGAGAATTTTACAAAAGCCTATTTAATGTATTTGCAGTATATTTAGTACTAAAAAAAACAGCAAAGAAAAACACCACAACACAAGGAATTAAGCAACGTCAACAGAGTTGACCCTTGTTTTATGTAACTATCTCTGGTAGGAAATGCAGATTTAATTAAAGGACTAACAAGGAGCTTATGGAGATTACTAGTGAGATTCTAAAGTGAACTTATGAGAACCTATGGGTGCCCTTTATTTCTAATTTATCTCCAAACATTACAAGTTCATAAAGCTTACCATCTGGGTCACAAATATAATGATGAGGGAAGAAAACAGGCTATTGAAAAAAGGGGAGGGGGGTAGTGGAGAGAGAGACAAGTATTTTATGAAGTATCTGTGCGGACGTTCAAAGGGAAAAGACCTGCTCGATGGAATGTGCACACATGCTATATAAAGCCTGCCTGAGCTGCAGCACTGACAGAACATTTGAAGTCTGGAGCAAGCATAACATGTTTTAGGGGTAGATGGTAGGAGTTCGGAAGAGATGGTGGATTAACGGTTTCTTCACTATCAAGTGACAGAATCCGTCTAGCACAGCATAGTTGCTATCAGGGAAGGTGGGTCTGAAGTACAGTATGAAAGACTACGACAGATGAGTAAGGGGAAGAACATAATGGATGCTCAGGGTTTCTGATAAGCTCACTGGTCCAAATCTGACAGGCTTTTCTGTATTTTCAAATACAGACCTCAGTCCACACTTTGATACACCGTTTCATAGAACCATTAACTTCTGGGTGCCACAGAAAATCCTAAAAGAGAAATTGTAGAAAAACTGTCAAAGGCACTGTCATATCCAGCATTGATACCATATATAATAAATACCCATAATAAATAAATCTCTTAAAGAGTACATAAAAATAAAATATTACCTTGTCTAAGATACCTCCATCTCCCTCCCTTTGCAATTTGGCAAGTCTCACCAGAGTTCTTGCATTCATATTTGCCTTATTCTAACTCATCTCTAAAGTTGCACTGGAATAATCATTCAGAATTTGAATCAGATCTTGCCACATCTTCGCTTAAATATCCAAGGGCTCTCAACTGTCCTCAAATAAAGTCCCAAATCCCGAGAACTGCTAACTAAAAAGGTGCAGGATGTGGTCTCTGGAACTTTCTCCCTCGCTCTCCATCTGTCTGCATCACTTTCAGTCTGCTTCTAGAATGTTCTATGTGCTCCTTTTCCTCTAGGCCTTTTATCTCCTGTTCCTTTTGCCTACAATGGTCTTAAATTCTTCCACTGGGTCTTAGGAACCCTACGAATCTTTGAAGGCTCAGTTAAAATATCGCTTCTTCAAGGGGAAAGATTACACTCTAAGTGATCCTAAGACCCATTTTACTTTTCCCATCCCGATCACACTTACAGAGAACTATAGTTATGTGCAAGCTCCATTACGTCAAGGACATTCCTGTCTTGATCCTCTCTGTATTCACAGTGTCTAAAGAAATTCCAGGGATAGGAACTCAACAAATTCACAGATATTCTTTCATGGCTATTAATCATGAACATAATTCCAGTGATTAGGAATCAAAAATATTTACGAATATCCTTTTATGCCTATTAATCCTGAGCAGAATTAACAGCCATAAGAGAATATCTATGAATATTTTTGAATTCTTAGTCACTGGAATTTCTCTAGAGACTGTGACTACAGAGGTATCAAGGCCCATGAAGAAGAAATATAACATCAGGATGAGAGGAAGGCTTATTAACCTGCGATGTACATAGATGGCACAAACTTGCTTGCTGTAATCTGCATGGTCAGTAGTTTGAAACCACGAGGGAGAAAGACTGGACTTTCAACTCCTATAAATAGTTACAGTCTCGGAAACCCACAGAGGGTCACTATGAGTCAGCATTGACTTGATGGCTGTGAAGTTATTATATTTATTTACATTTTTGGTCATCATGCATGTGACTAAGGGAACCCAAAGAAGAATTGCCAATGCATTTGTATTGAGGTGCTGAGTAAGAATACTGAAAGTATCATGGACTGCTCAAAGGACAAACAAATCTGTCTTGAAATAAGTACAGCCAGAGCACTCCTTAGAGGCAAGGCTAGTAAGACTTCGTGTTACATACTTGGGACATAATATCAGGAGAGACCAATCCCTGGTAAAGTGGAAGGGCAGCATAAAAGAGGAAGGTCCTTACTGAGATATAGCGCCACTGTGTCTGTTACAATGGGCTCAAGCATAGAACAACTGTGAGGATGGCGCAGGGCTGGGCAGTGTTTTGTTCTGTGTTGCATAGTCGCTATGGGTCAGAACCAACTCGATGGCACCTAACATCAACAAGTAATCTTGATCTCATACTAGTTTCAAATGAACATATAAGATTATTCTTTACCTGGATAAAAAAACTGAATCACTGAATTTTCTATTTTATTATAATACAGCTCACTTAAAAAAAAGTTGTTACAGTATCTTACTATTCTTATGCACACTCAATACACTGAGGTAAGTTTACGTTATATGTTCAAATTAACCGATGAATATAATTTCTGTGTTAGAGTATTTAGCTTGCTATTAGATGAACTTACCACTTTAACTGATGCAATTTTGTCTTCAAAATGAATGTTTTCATGCTGCCATAAAAAGGAGATAAACATTGATGTACAGGTTAATTTTAGATAACGAATTATTTTAGCAGCTTTTCTTGATTTACTTTTATGCCCCAAATATCAACTATATATAGGTAACATGAAGAGGAAAAGGTCGCCATGGAATGCCACAAACAAGTGACATCAGATCAGCTGTTTCTATATGATTTTCAAGAAGATATGTCAATCTGTCTATTCAAGTAGTCTTCTAACAGTTCATGGGAAAAGAACATTATGAAAAAATGGCCTAGATTTCCAACAATAATTTTGCATCAAAGTCAACTCCTCTTAGCTTGTTAGAACGTGTTTGAACAAGCTCTCATTGGAGGCCGAGGAAAGTGAAACATCCTCTTGAGGAGTTCCTATTACAGCACCAAGAATTTTGCGCAGGGAGAGCTTTACCAGAGTCCTCCATCAGGACTGTGCTCCGTTTATTCCTCCCACCAAACATGGGCAATGTTGCGAATTTCAATGGGAATTCATTAGGCATCTAAGCCATTGAGGCAGAATGCCAGGGGCCATATAGCTGAGAAGCTGAGGACCAAGGGAGGCTTGTCTGTTACCTGAGGAGAGGTATTGCTATGGACCAATTACTGTATCTTTCTTAGACACAGCAGACCAGGGAGAGACTTGGTTTCTGGCTGTGCTGTAAACCAATGACTACATCCTTACTGTTTCTTGCTACTGTCTTGTAATCTGCTAATTTCTCTAACCAACCCCTTCAATTCTGAGTATTGTCTGAGAGTTCTGTGTGACCATTGCAATGAATTTTCAAACCCAGCATAGAAAGAGTGCTATGAAGGACTAGTTAGTGCCAGGATAGAGAGAGATAGATGAGGTGAAAGAATGTCTTACCTGTGTCTCATAGCAATAGGGAAGCCAGAGGAGGTCAGATATGGCCCCCATATCGTTTATTACACTCCAAATCCTCTCTAGGGTCACTATGAGTTGGAGTCCAGTTGATGGAAGTGAATAGATACCATTTTAGGGGGCTTGGTGGCATAACAGGTTAAGCATTTGGCTGCTAACCAAAAGGTCCACAGTTCAAACCTCTCTGAGAGAAAGGTGAAGCTGCTTGCTCACGTAAGCCTTGACAGTCTCGCACACCCTGTGGAACAAACCTGCTTTGACCTACCAGATTACTATGAGTTAAAATCAACTCAAGAGCAGTGGGTTTAGATACCATTTATGGAAATTATATTTTAAGAGGACCAATAAGGATTTGAAAATTTCACCTACTATTCAAGGAAATTTTACTTCGTTGAGGTTTAAAATTAATACTAGGTCATTAAATTAATTAAAGCATTCAAGTTGGACAGGAAATTGGCTTCTTCCTGATTATTTGTACCTCCACTTCAATCTGGAATATTATTCTGGAAAGATTTCTGGTTTTTTTTAATACTTAATTATAAAACTGATGCCAAAGCCAAATTTTTAAAGTTTACTAAAGCATTTTACTTTAAATTTTGATAATTCATACTCTTTTGTATATTTTATGTGTATAAATACAAATAACTGACTTTTCTGTTCACTTTTTTTTTTCTGTTCACTTTTATGTGTATAAATATAAATGGGTTACACATTGGCAGACTGCAATAGAGCTTAATTACTAAAATACTTGGTTGACGAAAACTTAAGTCTACAGAGTGTACACTAACTCAATTTGGAATCTTGACATAAATTCAAACACCATGTGAGTTCTTTATGCATGCGGAACATTAAACCAGCAGTGTGCCTACGTTTGACAAATTTGTAATGTATTCCAGCTTAAATTTTGAGTACCCCAGTCTGCAATGGGCTATGGATTGCAGTGATAATCCAAATTCCATTTGCAGTCTCCAAAGAGATTAAGCCTCCACAGGATTTTTTCTGATCACAAACCAAGGATGTAGATAACCTTGCTCCCAGGCAGAATGCCTAGAAAAGATCCCCAACCCCTCTCCAGCCACGCCCCTCTCTTAGGGGTTTGTCTGGGTGTCCTCGATGAAGGTATCCATATCTCAAATGTAACTTAATGAAAACATTAAGTCCTAAAAGAGAGATGACCCCGAGACACAAACACATCGTCCCGATAGGGACATTAGCACAAGGTCAGAAGGGCATCCAAGGATTAGGGTCAGGACACTAGTTCAATAAGACATGGAACTAAGGAAACTGTCACAAATTCATGACTGGTGGCAGATCAGTTGGTTAGCTTCTAGAAAAAGCACCCTAAAAAGGGAATGGGCCCATTTACCTTATTTCCTTCTTCTTTGAATTGAGGATTAATTATTTTTACAAAAGAATAGAATAATTGACGAATTCTAGAGTCTCCAATGAATGCAATATATTTATCTAGGAGGCAGCTCTTTGCTTCACTGAAACAAAAAAAAGAAACCGACATTAAAATAAATAAAATCATTATATTGGCATTTCAAAAAACAGTTTGTGAAGAAAACTGAACAGGATGGTTAACTTGAATTCTTATCTTAGATTATTGTCCTGGGGGGCGGGCACAGTTTAACTCACAAAAGCAGATGAGAACCCAGTTAAGGAGAACCCAGTTAGAACCACATGCTTTAGAAATGTGACCAAATGTACTTAATCTAGAAATGAGGGCGTTAACTAGCTCTCAATAACACCCCCAGTTAATTTGTTTTTACGGTGCCCTCTAACTGTACTCAACCCATTATTTTAAGCAATCCCCAGAATAACTTTATGAGCCAGGTCTCCAAGTCCCAGCACACCATTTCACGGTTAGGCTATTGTGTGGGGTGGGGTTGCCTCTCACCAGAGTAGCCCGAGGCTGATGAGTGGACTAGATGGCGGCGGGTGGGTAGAAATTCTGTCCGTACGTTTTTTTAGGTAGCAGTCTTCATCTAGATCCAACCTCAATCCTAATCTCAGCACCTTTATAATCCCACATAGAGGATTTTCTCCACTGGCCTGCTAATTGTGATTATTCGCTCCCCGGAGCATATGGTGACGCACGGCAACCCTGAGTGCAGGGTGAGGCTGCTCTTGCAGGTCTTTCAGAAATGTGACCATTAAAAAGCAGATGGCCAGGCCTGTCTTTCAAGGTGCCCATGAGGTAGATTCGAACCAACAACCTTTCAATTATTAGTCAAGTACTTTACTATCTGAGTCGCCTACTAGGTATTAAGACTCAACCTAGAAGAGAGAAAAGCAAGCAAAAACCAACCACAGAAACCTTACTTGATTTTGTATCTATGCATCATACAACTGTGAGGTTGCCAAACTCTCTCTCCAAGAAACCTGCCACTGGAAAGGAGGTATTCGCAGGAATCATTGCCTGTAATAAACAAAAGTGTGGTACACAATATTATAACAGTATTTTATTATGTTGGCTTTCTTGACCCAGGGAACTCTGATGTCTCGGTGCATAAATACTGAAAGTACAGTTACGCTAAATACAACATGAAAGTGAAAATGCTGAATTACCTTGTTGGTAGAAAACAAAGTATGAATTATTACCTATTTGGATAAAATATGTAATTTTTTATTTCAAATAATTTTAATAACATATTTCTAAATAAATTAAAAACAATTAGTTCCTAATACCTTCCAAATATTAAAAACTAATTCTAGTTCTAAAAAAAATATTAAGCTACATAAATAACCAAATAAGAAAAAAGACCATGGGAGCACATGAAATTATTTTCCTGTAAGCAGCATACCTCCTGCATTCTTTATAATGGTCATTTAGTATACACCTATTAAAAATATAGTTAACTGTTTAAAATTAAGATGAAATTTCTATATTTACAGCATTTCTACCTCCTTAAACACATCTATTAAACCATGGGAAAAGCTAGTAACATCTCTTTTTTTAAAAAGTTATGAGACTGTTAAGTAACTAGGCATGAATACTACAGGGTGTCCTCTTCTTTTTCCACTCCTTTTTGTGGTGGAGGAGAGGGCATTCATGGAATGAATCAAGCTCACCAAACTCACTGCCATCAATTCAATTCTGACTCACAGCAATCCTACAGGACAAGGCAGAACTGCTCCTGCAGGTTTCCAAGACTAACCTTTTAGGGGAGTAGAAAGCCTCATGTTTCTCCTGCTGGTGATTTTGAACGGCTGACCTTGAGGACAGCAGCCTGATGCGTAACTTACTATACCTTAGGGTTCCTATGAATTAAATTATGCCCCCCCCCAAAAGTGTTATAAATCCCTACCTCTATACCCATGATTATGATCCCATTTGGAAATGGGCTTTTTTATGTTAATGAAACAGGATCAGTACTTGGTGTGCCTTAAATAAATTTATTTTGGTATCTAAAAGAAAGGAAACAAGTAATCAAAAGCCATACAGAAAGGGCAAGAGAGATACCAAGCCATGTGAAGATTGCCAAAGAACAGAAGCTCAGACATGTATTAGAGTTTTACATTCTGGCATTAGGTTTGCAGAATGCTCATTTACAGTGAAAGCCGTAAACCCATTTTCAATTTTTCACTGAATTCTTTCTGACCATTAATCGAATGTGAATGGACTTTATATTAGAAAGCGGATGAGATAGTTAATGTTTATTGTGCCAACCAAACTGGTCGATAAACACATGTGGGAATAAATGAAGGGCGGAGAGATAAATGGCTTGGTGAGCCTCGCCTTTCTAGTTCTTGGGTCTCTTGCTTTATGATGGTCGGAACAAGGTGCAGCTGTCTTAGCCAGTTCCCTGCCTCAGCTGGCAAGGCTCACTTCCAGAGAGACATCCCTGAGGAGAAGCCACATGGACCTACCCTGCCAGATGCAGCCCTGGGTGCTGGAGCAGCAGTGTGGAGACCCCTGCCAGCGCTGAAATGCTTACATGCTCACTGATTCGGCTTTCCTCCTGCAGTCAGCGTCACTGTGTGTGTTTTGTGAGACTGAGAGGACTTTACCTAGGTGTGCTCTTGATGAGTCTGGGCACAAGGGTCTTCATGATCTTGAGTCATAGCCTGACTGCCTGGGTCAGGCAACGCTGAACCAACTGAGTAAACTTTTCTACTTAAAATAGTGTACAAATCCCAATCATGGTTCCTTTCTCCCTTCTCCTGTGTATTGCGTATTGATCTGCCACCAATCATGCTTCTGTGACACTTGAGTTCCAACTCCCCTGTTGTATTTACGTAGCAGAGTTTCTGTAATTTCTTGGACACCGTTATGGCCTCACATGATGGTCTCTTTCATCCAAATGAAATGCCTTTGTCTTTGTCCTGTTTAAGGCTTAATTCATGTGTCTACAGAAATTAAAGTTGAATTTGAGGTCACTCTTCTTCCATACAACAGAAGAGACAAAGCTTTCTCTACAGCCCACAGAGAAATCTTTTGCCTAAATTTAGACTTTCTAAACTGTGAGGAAAAAATCAAAATGTTTGCTCAATCCATGCATCCATCCATGTGTCAAGCACATTTGTCCATTTGATGCCAGCAAGGGTTTCTCACTTCTGTGGTGATGGAAGTGCACACTAGACTTTCTCCACCAGGAAGCATGTTTTAAAATGCAAAGTTTTCTTTTCTATATTACTACCCGTACCTGACTTTTTTTGAGTCTAGCTATCTTAAAACAACAACTCTAATGACGGCCTCATATTAGAAAACTACCCACGGTGACTCACAGCAACCCTGGCGTGTGGGAGCACAGCTATTCTCCCTGAAGTTCTCAATGGCTGTGTGAGGCAGAAGACGGCCAGGCCTTTCTTCTCCTGCATTCTTGGCAGACCCAAATTGCAGCTGAGTTGCTTAACCCTGTGCACCACCCCGAAAACCTAAAGACCAAACCCACTGACTGCCATCGAGTCAATGCGACTTCCAGCCCCCCTATCCAGGGCCTCCAAGGAGCAGAGTGTCTCATCTTTTCCCTGACGAGCAGATGATAGACTTGAACCTGCACTTGCAGCTAGTGACCCAGTGAGTCTTCTTAATACACTCTGGAACATAAAGAGTTTTTAAAAGCCGTGTCTGAATTCAATGGTTGGGGAGTCAGAATAGACTTGATGACAGTGGGTTTGGATTTTGGTACCTGGAAAATCTTTAGTCTGTCCACCACAGTCATTTTGACAGTGAAAATGTACATATTAAGAATAAAATAGTTTCTACCTGGAAAACTGAAAAAGCAAAGAGGTTAAAATAATCTCATCAAATAATAAAAATACTATTAATGATATTTAGGAGTACTGTAAGCTGAGTGAAAACTGATCCAGAAGAGCAAACTTCACAAAAGCCATGCAAAAAATTCCAAGTTCTCTCTTTTCTAACAATGAAATAGTTTGGGATCAAATACGTATGTAAAACTAGAGGTTGAAATACAATCACATTCCCATTGTAATTATGTATACTAACCTATATAAATATCCCCCTGGCATATATTTTCCTTTACAAAATTTACCAAAGAAAACCTTTGGTCAATTTTAAAATTGCCTCCTATAATTTTAATATTGGCAAATGCTCAGGTAAGTTTAGATAGAAACTCACTTAAAAAAATAGTAAAAGCTTTTGTTCCCATAATGTCTTATACCTGATCCCTTCGACACCTCGTGATCGCATAGGCTGGTGTCCTTCTTCCATGCGGGCTTTGTTGCTTCTGAGCTTGATGGCCGATAGTGAATGATGGGAGGAGTGTGGAGTGGAGACCCAAAGCCCATTAGTAGGCCCCTGGATATCCCCTTGCAGAGGGGTCTCAGGGAGGAGACGAGCCAGTCAGGGGGTGATAGAGCAACGATGAAAAACACAACTTTCCTCTAGTTCCTAAATGTTTCCTCCCCCTTCCCACTATCATGATATGAATTCTACCTTGCAAGTCTGGCTAGACCAGAGGATGTACACTGGTACAGATAGGAACTGGAAATATAGGGAATCCAGGGCGGATGAGCCCTACAGGACCAGTGGTGTGAGTGGCGATACTGGGAGGGTAGAGGGAGAGTGGGTTGGAAAGAGGGAACCGATTACAAGGAACTATATGTGACCTCCTCCCTGGGGGACGGATAACAGAAAAATGGGTGAAGGGAGACGTCGGACAGGGCAAGATATGACAAAATAATAATTTGTAAATTATCAAGGGCTCATGAGGAAGGGGGAAGGGGGGAGCGGGGAGGGAGGGGAAAAATGAGGACCTAATGCCAGGGGCTTAAGTGGAGAGGAAATGTTTTGAGAATGATGAGGGCAATGAATGTACAAATGCGCTTTACACAATTGATGTATGTATGGATTGTGATAAGAGTTGTATGAGCTCCTAATAAAATGATTTAAAATAATAATAAAAGCAACCAAAATTAAGGATAGAAGAACCCACTTCAACTCTATCCAATGCTAAAAATAGTGGATGAAGAGCTTCCCTCTCCTTCGCTCCATTATTTTAAGCATAAGCATTCTGGCCATTTTCTTAAGCATAAGCATTATATAGCCTCAAGGTTTTCGTGCTTATGGTTTCTATAGTAGAAAAATACTTAAAAGCAAACAAGTACCCAAAATAAAGCAAAGAACGATAAAAAGACAAATTGTAACAACTAAAGAAATTACTGGATGCCTCTACATCAACCACAACAAACATTTCCCTCTGCATGGAATAGTCTGGCATACTACTGCACCTTTAGCGTGAATCACCCAACAACGCTGCTTCCCAATTCCAACCATTAGAACACAAAGTTATAAAATTCCCAATATAATCTGTACAATATTGCCTTCCTAAAATTCAACATGTTATACCTCTGTTTGAGATGAAAATGATCTAATTTGTTTCTTTTGCAGCACTAGGAGTACATTATAAGCAGTTTCATGTAGATCAGGCTCTTTCTATCAAAGAAAGAAAAAGGTAAGAGATCTAGAGCTATTTCTTCCTTCATTTTAATCTCTAAAGCTTCAACTAACTTTTCTTTGAACCATGCAATAATATACATCATTTGCATTTAATATGCCTAGTGACAGAAAAGGTTACAGCTTCAACAAAATTAAGGCACAAATAGTTAAAAAGATGCTTCTAACCTGTAATCATCGTACTAATGGATATTTTGTGATTAACAGTGTTAGAGACTGATATAATTCAGGAAAAATATAAAGAGTAGTCATTATGTTTAAAATGATCATTCCATTATATTACTGGAAAATATTAAAAATGAGGGAAAATAGCCCCATATTTTCTATAATTGAGATTAAAACACGCTATCAGAATAAGACTCATAGGACAAGAGAGTGACCTATTTGACAGCGCAGAACTTCCGTGTGGATTTCTGAGCCTGAGCCTTATCTCTCTCCCATTGAGCAGCTGGTGGTTACAAACTGGTGACCTTGGGGTTAAGCAGCCCGACTCCTCAGAACTGACCAGATGGCAGTGAGTTTGGTGTGGTTTTATTGTTATATGAAACCACAAAAGAATCAAG